TAAAGCTAAAGATATTATACTCATTAATTCTCTATATCTAATAAGAAAGAGAAATAGTATATTTATATCTCTAATATATCTATTATTATAGAGTAATACTTATATAGTCTATAAGATTAATTATAGTTCCCTCTACTAGAAAAAAAAATTATAAAATTAAAAGAGGATCTAATAGCTTACTATTATTATTATTATTATTATTACTATTAGGATTAGCTTTAGTAGTACTTTTAGTAATACTTTCCATATTATCTTACGGCTTCTAGAGATTAGTAAATAGAAAAGAATTCTAGTATATATAAGTTAATTAAATCTAAAAACAAAAAAGAATCTATAGAAGAAATAAAGAATAAGAGCCAGAATTAAAGGAAAGAATTATATATATATCTTTATTTACCTACTAGTTTATTAGATCTCTCTTTATTTTTAAAGTCTTATACCTATACTAGTAAATAATACTTTCCTAGGCTCTCTAGGCCTCCTTAATCTATTATTTAATCTCCTTAAATTATTATACCTTCTAAGTATTTTCTAGCTCTTTATAAGTAACTTTAAAATAGAGATCTTTATATAAAGTCTCTTTCTAAGTATTTTCTAGCTCTTTATAAGTAATTTCAAAACAGATATCTTTATATAAAGTCTTATTCTAGTATAAAATAAGGAAAATTATCTAGATACTTTTAGGGTCCAGATATATACTATAGTAGGAAAAGTTAAAAACAGTTTAAATAGAACCTAGTAAGACTATAAGTTCCTAGGCTCTTTTACTATTAGAACTAGTATAAAATACTAGTTTATTTATATTATTAATAAATTAATAATAGTAAATAGGTCCGCTAATATAAAGAAAGAAATAAGAGAGTAGCTACTAAGAAACTATATTAGAAAAAGTAAAAAAAACTCGATTATTTATTTTAAATTAAAAGTTACTTATTAAAAAATATTTATTAGAATTTATATAGAGAATCTAGTAAAAGAAATAAAAGAAAACTTACTATTAACTTCTTTAGAAAGTTAGATAGTTCTTTACTTAGCTCTCTAATTCTTTATATTATTAAATACCTACTTATAGAGAACTAGCTATAAAACTATAATTTATAATTCCATAAGACTAGATCTAGCTATATTTTAATTTATAAGACCTTAAAGGGCTCCAGGTAGCCTATTACTAATATAAGAAGCTATAGCCTAGATAGCGGCCTAAGTAACTCTTGTATTTACAGCCTATTAAGCTTATATAGTAATATAAGTACTACTAAAAAAGTAGTTAGATTAAGTAATATGGCTTATAATAAAAGAGAATATAGAAAGAAATAATTATAGGGCTATTAGAATAGGAGAAGCCTGGAATAAAGCAGAACTAGTACCTAGTAGCTATATAGTAATAGTAACTAGAGAAATAAATATAGTAAATATTCCTAGAAAAAAAGATATAAAATAAGAATACTAAAAAAAGCTAGAAATCTGAAATATCCCAGATATAAAAAGAGAGGCAGATATAAACAGAATTCCAGAGCTATAAGATTTAAGTTTACTAGTATTACTATTCTAGGCAAATAAAGCAGCGGCCTCTATATTATATTTATTATTAGTAGATTAATAGAACTTATAATATTAGATATTATTATACTAGTATTTGGCTATAGGATATATAATATTAGGGCAGGTTTTAAGAAATAGTAGTATTATTTTAAGAAATAAGAATTTGAGAATATAAAATATTTATATAGTAAATAAACTTAATAATTCTATTAGTACTATTCTTAAAAGTAAGAAAGAGGTTTCGAAAATAATATATTTAATAATAAATAATACCTATCTTAATATACCTAATTACTTTATAACCGGCTTATTTAATTACCCTATATTATTAGAAATATTACTAATAAAGAGCCATTTCTAGGTAAAGTTCTAAACTATTAGGAATTATATAAGTATTCTTCTGGCCTATATATTATTTATATACTTTATATTTATTAGGATAACTTACTTAAAGATCCTATTTTATATAATAATAGTATTATATTTACTAGTTAGCTTTTCGGACTCTCCTAATATTAATAGCTACTCTGAGGCTATATGTGTCCGGACTATATATCGGAGCTAGTAATAAGCTTAAATATATAATTAGTTGCTATTTCTATTAGTATCTCCTATATAAATATTAGCTATATTTATATTATAAGATATAAGCTTCTAATAATACTATTCTAGTATTTCTCTCAGTAGAAACTTATTAATATCTATATTAATATATAAGTAAACTATTTATATAGAGCTATATAAGGTTATATTATTTATCCTAAACTAAGTAATTATTAAGAATTATATTATAAAGCTCTATATCTATAAGGTAACCCTAGTATTATATCTCGCCTAAGGGCCTTATATATAGTCTAAATAGCTTGCCGGCTACTATATTAGGCCTAGATCTGTTTTTTCTAATCCTATAAATATTCTATAAGTCTATAAACCTATATATCTCGTTTTGAATCTGCTATATATAAAGTACTAGTAAAGTAATCCGGTTCTATAAATATTAGTAATTATAATTCCTAATATAGGCTAGTTCCTAAAAGTAGTTCTATATATACTAATTAGAATTAGTTATATAATTTAGTACTATAATACTAGACCTAATAGCCTTAATAAAAAGTAATATAATTATTAGTACCTAATACTTCCTCCTAATAATAAAAAGAATAAGAGGCAGATATAGGGAAACGGAATTACTTATATACTACTAGTATAGCTAGCTCTTCTAAAGCTCCTGCTATTAGAATTTAACTTACTAATTCTCGGTACTTTTCCTAGAAATAAAGTAGTTCTCTATATATATAACTAATAAATTAGCTATCTATAAGAATATAAAGTATACTTTAGTAATAAGAGAAAGTTCAGAGCCTTAATTAGCCCTAAAGAAATAAGGGTAATAGCCTATTTAAATATAAATCTAAAGATACTACTATATAACTAAATAGGTAATCTAATTAGAGATTTTAATATATATCCAGATAATATTATATAAATAAGTATTAATATAAGTATATATCTTAATCCCAAATAATAATAGCTTATTATATTTATTAATTAACTAAATCCAGTCCGGCTTAGGTATAATATATTCTCTTTTCTTAAATTATATCTATTATATTTATAATATAATTACCTCGGGATTCAGGAGTTATAATATTATATATAAGCTCTCCCTATAAATAATAAAATATATTAGTAAATAAGGCCCTAATCTTTTAAGCTAGGGCAAAATAATAAAGTATAAAAAGACTAACTAGGTTACTAGTAAATCTTATTAACGGAAGTATATATATAAATACTATTATTTATAACCTATAACCCGCCTATTATTTAGCTTACTCTATAGTATTATAAATAGTTACTTGTCTACCGCTTGCCTATCTATTATAATTATATAGTAAATAAGACCAAGCTTCTTATATATATAAATAACTCTAGTAATTAAAGCTATATAACTATAATTCTCAAGATCCTCAAGTATTTCCTTATTTATATCTCCTAGATAATATAGGATTATAATTTATATATAAAGGAAAGGCATATCTATTATTTAAGTATATATTTGGATATTCTATTTTTATAATTACTATTAAACTATATATAAATTAACTAAGATTTCATATAAATCTTTTAATTTATTTGTAATTTCTTCTTAATTAATATTTATATAAGCCTATTTAGTAATAGCTTTATAATATAGTAATAGATTTATTAAAAGTTATAGTATTATTTTAATAAAATCTACCAAGTTATTTTAATAGAAGTTAAGTTCAGGATATGCTTTACTATTATAACATATTTTCTAGTAATATAAGTACTAAAAAAACTCGAGTAATATTATCCCTATATAATTTTATTAATTAATTACCAAAAAAAAGTAATTAGCCGGCTTCTTAGTTATTTTAATAATTTAATTTTCTTATTTCTAATCTCGGGAATATTAAGGAAGTTATTAGACCCTATTAATAGTATTATCCTAGAAAGGCTTATAGCCTGTAGTTACCTGACTATAGTAATTTATAATAAATACTTAATTTTATATTATACTACCCGGCCTAATTTTGGCACGATTTTATGCGGTAGTATGGGCTCTCACTTCGTTAATTAGACAAGCAAGCAGCCTTACTATTATTGCGTTATCCAAGCCGAAAGTCACGTGTGGGTGCTATACCCCTAATTAGGAATTCTGCCTTGGGGAGGAGGGGGGGGGGGGGGGGTGCGGGGCGCCAGTGCGAAAATCAGAAAATCAGAAAATCACTTTTCGCTTCTCGGATTTGTCCGCTAGCTAGCTGTGGGCCTCAGTAGGGCTAATGCAACCTGCAGTGAGATTGGGGGCTATATTGGGTGACTGCATGGCCCAAATCGGCAACCAAGAACTCAATTGAGAGCAGGAAATGCAGCCTCAACCTTTTTTGGTTTCCTAACGCTCTGGTGACATATTTTCGCCTAGTTTCTTTGGCGGGATCGAGAATTTTTGATCTGAGATTAAAGCCGAGTTCTATTCAGTGGAATATGAAAGTTCGCTAGTAGATGTACTTCAGCCCAAACACTTCAACCATGTGGCCGCATCTATCAATGAGACACATTATGACTAAATGCAATCGCATATTTAAAGGCACTTGATTCCTTCCTTTTTTTTGTTTTTTTGTTGTTGTTTTTACCTTCAACTTTTGTGAATGATTCAATTTCTTGACGTCTTCTTGTGTTCGAGAAACCATCGATCGCAGAATTGCAAACGCTCTCGATAGCTCAGCAATATAAATGTATTTTAAATGATAACAAGTTCTTTCATCTCTATGAATCAATAATAGCTCACCTGTGAAGGTAAAGGCAAGCTTAGGCAGAGAAAATAAGCGTGCCGTGATCTGGATTTACAACAAACTGAACAACATAACCAACCCCAGCAAGTACACCGCAACCACTTGCAAACGTCCGCACCCTTCACCAAACGGTGTCTTAGCTAGTCATAACCCAGATGGTGCTGCTGCAGAAGGAACTGCACCGGAAAGAGTAGTGCCATTTCCAGCACCTGTCCCCGTTCCCCCATCAACACTCACATCCCCACCACTTTCAGCCACGCCACCACTCTCTGTATACACAAAACTGTAATTCGGATCATACGTAGCCGAAACATTAACCGCAATGGTGATCCAACCAAAGATCCCATCTTCAAGACTATCACCAAGATACACATATTCAAAGACCGGGACGGTTTCAGTGTCAGCCGTTTCGTCGGCGAAGACGCGGTCTTCAGCATTGGTGGTGAGCGTGATGGTGTTGGTATTGTAGGGGTAGGTGGCTTCAACCGCGTCGATGATATCTTGGTCCCAGAAGACTTGCCCGACGTGTGCGACGGTACCGCCCGAGAGAGTGTTGTTAGGGAGGAGGGTGGCGTTTAGGTGTGCGACCATGTGGTGGTGAGTAGTGCGTCCAGAATACTTGAGAACAAAATCTCGTGTTAGCACTGGTTAAAGTGCAGTGAGGGTGTAAAGAGACTTACGTGACCTGGGAAGACACTCTTGAAAGTGACAACACCTTCGGAGTCAGAAGGCTGAATGCCTCGAAGGAAGGTAGCATTGAAGTTCGAGGCATCATCCGTGTTGCCATTGCCAGTAGCAACAAGACCAGAGTAGACGCCAGTAGAATTGCAGTTCCAGATATCCCACCAGAGGCCCTCAATAGGCTCGCAAGTTTCAACATCAAGGAATTGGCCCTCGACAATGATAGGAACACCAGGCTGGCCGTCCTGAAGGTCGTAACGAATATACTCTCCCTTTACCCAATAAGGGCCAGTTTCTCCCTCGGGATTAAGATAACAGGTTCCGTTGCTGGCGAAGATAGTGCTATCTAAGGTGGCTGGATTGTAACTTTCGGTTGACAAGTGAGAGGTATTGGCAACGGTGGCAGTATCCCGAGCGAGTTTCTTCCCACGCCTATGTTTCTCAAAAGTCGCAGCGCGGCGAGCTGCGGCTTGAGAGCTGAGCCCTCTCTTTGAAAGCTTGTCAGCGCAGGAGGCAAGACCTCGGCGAGAGTTCTGCTTGAAGTCCCGGACTTTGAGCTCGGCTGCCTCGTTGTGTTCATGGTGCTCGTCTGGATGTGCGGCAGCTAGAACGGCAAAGATGATTGCAGCAAGTTTTGATACAGTTCCGAATTGCATTGTTGCTTCTTCCGTTGGTGTAGTCGATGTTGGGTTGTTACTTAAACGAAAGTTAGATATGAGATGGAAAGGAAGTATGACCGCCGAGGAAGCAAGAAGATAGAAGTGAAAGTGATAGATGAGTGGTGGGTGAGGAAGGGGAAGAAAAGAAAGTCGACGGAGAAGTTATGCTTTCCAAACTCATAGAAATCTATTTCAATGACCCGGCTGGACTCAGCAACGATGTTGAGCCTCGTCAGCAGGCGGCGCATCGCTTGCACGTGTTGAGTTCTTTGCGTCCTGTAATGTAGCTGATCCTATAGATCATTTGGTCTTTGCCCTAGTCCTAGACACCCCCGAGAACCTTCAGCTCCCCCCAAATTAGAAAAAACGGCACATACCGCGTATTGTTTCATATTTCATGAGGATAATCACCAATTAAAATCTGCTTCTCGCTACAGTATAGGGTCTGCACCGCTCGCTTGACCACGCGTACACACCCGCAATTAGGGCGCCGCCCCGCATTCACGACTCCAGGGTTGTCGTAATCAGCACAATACGATAGGTTGATTTGGGAGGGGAGTTCAGAAGAGTGGCGAAAATGTAGATCTGATATATTATTCAGTGGATTACTTTGGACGATGGGACTGAGATTGGAGGCGAGCAAAATACGTAGGAAGAAGAACATTTAGCAACACAAGGGACAGGAAGACTAATTCTGCCCATTGGTGTAGGAGGGAAGAAAAAAATGTTCTAGGGCTACAAAATCGTCATGGAAGTAGGCCGCGTTGCAATCTCTTGGCAGACTTGGCAGGCATCTCAGCTCTGAGCTTTGAGTCAGAAAGCAGAGTGCAAAATGGAGAATTAACGGAGAATCTGCGTTGACAGTGGTGGGAAAAGTTTGTGAGTTAAGGGATAATACTTCCGTCTAGATGTTTCCTCATCTTTTTCTTCCGTCTGAGATGAAGCCTCGTCATGGCTATGACTGGGGTGGCCGATATTACAACTCCACCACCACCTTGGCCGCAGATACACCCGTTCTGAGAGTATCAAGCCCCTCTTGTATGTGATGCAAGCCCCCTTTGATCACGAGTGGTTCCGGCTTTGGAAGCAGCTCGCCATTTTTCAATGCTTCAGGAACATATTTCCGCCAAACAGCATCACCAACATCTGGTTGCTCGGAGGCGATCGATACTGCCAAGACTATGAATTTGTCATTAGGATGCCCAAGGCCTCAAAGAGGAAAGTGTTCTCACCCCCGACTGCCGTCACGTTACTCGGGAGGCCTCCAGCAGGTGTAGACAGTACAGTCGCAATTGTTCCTCCACCTAATTGATGAACGATCTCTCCAGATGCCTTCAAAGTCTCTGGACTTGATATGGCATCATATGCACCAACGAAGTCAGTTCCCTTGAGTCCCGCAAGTATATCCTCAACCACTGTTGCCGAAGCGTGATCAAACACATGCTTCGCACCCAATCCCTTTACATAGTCCAAATTCTTCTTCGATGCAGTTGAAATCACTTCTAATCCAGATCCGACGGCTAATTGAGTAGCAGTACTTCCAACCGAAGAGCTACCTCCCCAAATGAGAATTGTTTTCCCACTTGATTTGGGATTGATGGTTGGGTATGGCAGTGCCAAGAAGCCTTTCTGATAAAGACCTGCCGCTGCAGTTGAAATTGCCAAGGGGAGGACCACAGCTTGCTCATAGGGCATTGGATCGGGAATGGGAGCCACCGTTATCTCTTTCGCTATGGTATAAAGTTGAAACCCTCCATGTGCGGGGTTGCCAGTTAAGCGGCCAAGTGCATGTCTAATGCAATTCATTAAATCGTCCGTTCGACTGTGCTCAATAGGAATAATGACTCACGCTATCACGCGTTGACCAACGTGGAGTCGAGTAACATCTGGTCCTACTTCCACGATTTCCCCAGCGATATCTCTCCCCAGAATGTCAGGATACTTTTGGAAAGGAGGACTGTAGTCTTGAATCTTCCAGTCGACTGGATTGATCGCTACAAATGCATTTTTAATGACTACTTCGCCAATTCCAGCTTTCGTTTCAGGAGCAGAGCCAACTTCGAGTTTTGTCTTTTCAGATTTGATCCAAGCCGCTTGGTTACTCATGTTCACAGTAATTTATATCGTTTGGCAAGAATGGAACGGTTTATCAGGAGTGAGTTCTGGCCGGGGTGACGGAAAGGTTATATAGGAGGAAAAGGAAAAGATTTGTAATCTATTTGCAGTCGTTATTCTGACAGATCTGACGAGATCAATGCGAATAGGAGATAGGCTGGAGTCGCGATAGGCTATTGATTTGTCATCCCCCCCCCTTTTTTTAGTGCCTCGCTAATCAAGGTTCAGCCTGTAAGCCCCTATATTTTTAGCGATGAGTGAGTTCTCTAAACCATCCAAGTAAAATTTGAAAGGATTTCTTGGGAAATACCGATGTCATTGCCCGCAAATTCATTGATGAACTTTGCATCAAGAATCTCCTTTCCTATTGCTCTCCACTGATCCCGGTATACCTTCCAAAGTTTTTAAGTGTCATGAAATCCCCTGATCGGATGGCAGCAAAGAGGAATTTGACAGCAACTACACACCTGGCAGCAGAAAAAGCCGGATCTCTTTCGCTATATCCCACTTCCGATGATGAGGCTATCACCGGGAAGAAGAGCTTCAAATTAATTAAACTCTAAAAGGGCCACACGAAAGCGAACAGAAACCGAGCTCTTCTTATCCGGAGCTCCAACGGTGGTAATGGGAAATGCTTCATGAAGTTTTCTTGGCCATTTATTGAGCCTTTTATACAGTGCTCTGGACCCTTCGCTGACCCTTCCTCTCCCTCACTCTTCTCCATGCTTCTAATTCCACTCCGGCATCGTCAATATATAAATACCTATTCTCGAAACGGCCAGTCTCACAACGAAATTTAACTCTATTCCCTAATGTTAGCGAACGTTAGCGAAAAGCAGTGTCTTTCTTATTTGCTGCTCACCTCATGTAATCCCGCCCCTATCTCGAGCTGTGATATTTCTTAATTAAACTTTACCTATATTCGTTTAAATTTTTTAATAATGTAATAGAATGCGAATATCATTGCCAAAAGCTATGGCAACAAACCTCCGGTGAAAACGAGAAAACGAGCTTCATATCCAGGCTCTTAAACCGAGACAACTCGGATAGCTTCATCAATCATTCTGAAGGGTGGAGGACAATTTATTGAGCCGATCTCAAGTCTCCAGCGTTCATCATATCTCAGCCCACAGCTCAATCAAGCTCTAAATCGTAGTGCAGTAACTGCCTAATTCTAGAGACTTCAATGTATATATATCCGGGAAGAGAGAGAAAGTGTGCACGTGGCCAAAGTGGTGGGTTCACGGTGTTTGCAGCGGCAAAGATAGAATAGCACCTGTCTTAGGTTTCCTTCCGGGGAGCCATTGTTCTATACTAGATAAGCATCATTTGTAAGGAGGTATCATGAATTATAGCAAACGACAGAACGAACTTTCCAGTATCGTCTTTGATCAAGGAGGTTGAGCTTCGACTGGTTGGCAAAGTGATTATAAACTCCAATTTCTTGATTGAATCTCCCACGCCAATCAAGGGCTAGGCGGTGGTCGTTCAAGGATCGTCTCGTTGTCTTGATGGACGAATACTAGCTTCGACACCCTGGAATTTTCATCTCGCAGCTCTCCACCATGTTCAGTTATCTCGGTCTGCCGAGAGGTACAAGAGAAGTAATCCTTGCTCAGAGGGTTCAAGCAAGTGGAAGAATGACAACAAGAGACTCTTTGACAACACTACTACAGAGGAATATTGGGTAACGAATAAGTCTAGAGAAAGAAGCTTGAACGAACAATTCCTTTCTCGAATTATTATCGATAGCTGCCAACTTCCCACGAAGGACTTGCTTGCATCTCCGTACTTCACAGGTTCCAAACCTGGACTCTCATTTTGCCTTTCGGATCTCATATCGATGACTTGTCTTTTATATTCATCTCATGGGCAAGGATATGGATTGATGTCGATACTCTGTATCAGCGCAGGGATAAGGACAGAGAGGAGCAGATCGAGGGGGAAATTCTTGGTCATTCAATCCTAGGGAATGGGAGGATGGATATGCCCATCAAGATATATATAACCGTCATGATCTCTTTCTAGTTCCACCACAGGTCGCGCTCACACAATAAAAGCTAAAACTCCACTGAGGGAGAGACGACTCCTCGATCCATCCTATCTTCATTACGCGTCCACTTGCTTAGAACGTCCTAGATTTTTGCCTTGTACTGCTTAAAATGTCATCAATAGAATCATTCAAAATAAAATTTCAAATTTAGTTTTAGATAGAAGCACGCGGGCGGATAATAGTGTAAGTGAACCTGATAATATAACTTGAATTGAAAACAGATAAAAATATACATGTTCCTCAAACATAATGTAGAGAAGAAGGGACTACACAACAATTATAAAATGATAATTCCAAGTAAAAAGTCGGGGGAATTATTCATTGATTCTTCGCGAACCGGCCCCCATATGAGCCTCCCCACCCATAATGCTATTATTTCTGGTTCGTAAAATTGCGAAGGGGAGCGAGCGCTTCTCTATGCTTGAACCTAGTTAGGTCCACCGCTCGGTGTTCATTCGTACCCGTACCTTATCTAGATCGTTAAAAGTTAGCCGGAGTAGCCCTGTCTGCCTAAAAACGGAAGGTATGTGGAAGCGCGTTAGTGGTTACTAATTGGACTGCTCGCATAGTCTCTTAACTTCTGTTGAAGATATATAAGCTCTCCCGGCCACTGGCATTGAACTCCAAGAACAGAAGAGACCCAAAATTGCGTTTATCTGATCTGACCCCGAGAAGCACTATGGGTGCCTATTCTATCATTTCCTCCTTGGTGTGCCTTGTTGAGAATCTCCTTTTGGTATGTTGGGGATGGGGATGACTTCCTCGAAGCTTCACCAGCTCGAGATAGAAGGAAATCTTAACCGGATGAAAAATGACAGGCATAAGAAGATGACAAGAAGAGCATCAATGACAACAACCAAACCTAGGGGTGGACGACCCAAAAGAACCAAACTCTGTAGGAGAAAGAAACGGGTTGAAGGTGACCCCAGAGAGTTGCAGGGCGCGAGTATACCAAACTCGATAACCTTCCTCATTGACGCGCACTGACGTGTGTCCTGTTTGCTGATGAGCATCATACTCTGCAGTAGGTATGAGGTGCGGATCTTCCGGGGCACCGGAGCCAGCGATGTGGAACTGTTGTTGAAACATTAACTGGTCATAATCATCATCACTATCTCCTCTCTCAGCACCAAGGGTGTTCCCATGGGCGTCGACAGGGAGGAGCATAGTGTCCAGCCCCATTTGGATCATGTAAGAGACCCATGGTATCAGGAATGTCTCCAGATCTCAGATCCGCCAAATGTCTGTTATAGGTTTCTTGGACATCTCTACGATCGCTCTCCTTTCTGACCGCACAACATCCTCGTCCTGAAATAACAACCACATCCTAGGTATTTCTTACAAACCCTTCCCCTCGAAATATTCTTCCACACAAACTCAGAACTGGGCTCTACCACCAAAGATTTGAGTAATCTCGGCATGGAAAGCCTTTCTTTCTTTATCACCTGCTCGGCCCTCACGATGTGAGCCCCCAATTTTGATTTTCCGATCCCCATCCCTGCTTACGAGAGCAGGAAGGGGATTGGTGGGCAGAGTGGGAGGAGAGGAGAGAGGAGAGGAAGAATGACAGAAGGAAGAGTGACAACAGGATACGGTGATACTTGAAGCGTGATAGGCAGGAAGAACTTACGCAGCAATCCCGAAGTGTCATTATGAAAGACAAAAACAAAGACATTATGGGAATGCCGAGACCCAGCGCTGGCCAAGCCGCGTCGTTTGTCGTATTTTGTTTGGAGGGCGGTGACTGTTGCAGAGCTGGCTTATACTCAATCTCGCAAGCTGTTGATTGCATGGTTTGACGAATGTTCTGAAGCTTGTTGTTGTACATTCCCATCTCCTTCCTTATCCCACCCGCCTTCCAGCACCCCAGCAGCAATCGACGGGAATCAAGGCCACCCCCCCAAAACCCACCCCTTCCCCTCGGCCTTCGGCCCAAACACCACAGATAACTCATCTCGAAAACAATGCTCTGCACCCACATCAACTTTCAATTTCGGTTTCGGCTTCAGCGCCACTTTCCTATCTTGTGTAGCGGCGAGTTTCTCATCCACCTTCTCCTCGTTCTTCCCCCCTTCCACTCTCTCTCCAGCTGTTATCACCGGAGGCGCGTCCGCCTTCGCCGTCCATTTCTCGCTCTCCTTCTGCAGCGCCTTCTCTTCGGCTTCCACCTTCGCAAACCCAGCTTGCCTCAATTTCTCCTTCCGTATCTCCTCTTCGGCGTCGATGTAGATCGCCTCCCTGGTCCCCTTCTTTCCCGGATTTCCAACCCGGGATTTCGAACCAGATTTAGAAGTTCCGATGGCAGAGCCGGGGAGGAAACGCCATTTCCCAGCTCCGCCGGATGCAGTGATGTGGCGACGCATTGCTGGGCCCCATGAAAGGGCAGTCTCCCAGGAGCCACCAAGTTGTGTGCTGCGAAGTAAGATCTCGTAATCAACTGCTTCTTTCTGCTCGGAAGTCAAGGTTTGATATTCCTTCCACTCCTCCTCAAACCCCTTAGCCCCGTTGTAGTCTGGCGCCACGGGCTCGCCATTGTCGTTGACGAATGATGACGGGAAGGGTCCGCCTAGCAAAGCTTCCGCCGTTTCGACTGCCGTACTCCTATTCCTCGCCAGTATGATGAAATTCTCCACCTCGCCCTTCGCAGCAAAGGCTTTAATCGATTCCGCTTCCAGCTCCGTGAAATGCGGCGTAGCTAAGTAAATAGTCGAGAGATTCGAGCGCCCTGCAGCCAGCAACAAGTTCTTCGGTAATTCCTCCCGATACTTGGTTTTCGCTGCCTGCTCAGCTTCCTCTTTGTCTCCCTTCACTCCAGGTAAGACAGCACCGTAGAATTTGCCCCTCTCTATCCGACTCTCCGGACTCAAGTCGACTCCGTGTCTCTGAGATAATGCGTAGAGCGCAGCCCCGGCAATCCTCCTCAGACGCTCTTCTGTTCTAACCAACTTCCCAAAATTGGTGATAAAATGGTCGGAATCGTAGGATATCGGGAACTGCAGCAGCGGCGGCGGACTCAAGTTTACTAGAACCGGTAGTCGGGCTGTAGGAGCGCGTGGATGAGTCGCATTCAAATGGATAGCGAAAGCTGAGGTCCAGTTTTCTGGGTGTGCGAGGATGCTGTCGTGTAAGAGTGGAATTTGCGGTGTTGATGGGAAATGGTTTGGCGAGATGGAAACAGCCGGAGAAGTTGACGGTTTATCCCATAAATCGTTGATGTGCGGGATTAGGTTCATTCGGGGGCACGCGGTGTTCAGGGTGCTGGTGAAGTAAGGGAGGTCGAAGAGCGTGGTGAACGGGAGGGGTGTGGGGGTTTTGACATCCGATGGGGAGAGGAGTTCGGGGATTATGAAATTAGTTGCTATTGGAACTTTTTATTAGCTTTTTGCTGCAAGTGAGGTGGGAAGGGGAAGGGGAAGGGGAAGGATGGAGGGGAAGGGGAAGGATGGAGGGGAAGGATGGAGGGGAGAGGAGACGAACCACCGGCTTCAATACCGAACCTCAGGCAATTCAACACTACGTTCCTAGCCTCCACGATCCCACCTCCGTGTGCCTCACACTTGAAAATCAACCCGTCCACCCATTTCCTACTCGCGCATAACTCGATCAAACTCGAATTGTCAAACGGTCCATCGATTCCAGTCGCAGATATGCTACCAATGAACGCGGATTTGCGGGAGGACGAGGAGAAGGGAATAAGGCCTAGTGAGAACGAGGAAAGGGAATGTGAGGACGGAGAGGTGGAGTGAGGGGAGAGAGTGAAGTAGAAGATGAAGATTAGGAAGGCGACGGGGAAGGCGAGTCTGCCTATGTGGATGAAGCGGGGGGAGAAGGACGTTTGCAGGATGCGGAGGAAGATAGATGGAAGCATCTTTTCGGAGGGAACGAGGAGGAGCCCATGAGGGGAAAGAATAAAGAAAGAGGTTGTGGGAATACATTTCGAGTGACGTGAAAACCCCTTACCTGAGTGATGCGGCAAGAAGAAACTATTGTCTTGGATGACATATTGATTGTGGCGCTAGGTGTGGCTTGAGTGGAACATGGCGAGTCGTGGATCATCACAACTAAAGATGAGAATGAAGCTTCGTCATTAGCCTTGAGCGTGAGTCCAACTTGAACCCAATTTCATCGCGGCGCAAAGATGAAAACACTACAGTAGGAAGGTAAAGGTAATCGTCGTACCGGTAGATTGTACGAGAGTTCGCTGGAATATTTATAACGCCGCTGTTCTTGACGCGAGATGGCGTTCAGGTCCCGAAAAAGAAAACAAAATTCCATCCGAAGCTCTCGGCCAGTCGCTTTGATATTTGGGCACGTGACCGACCCGCCTTCCAACCTGGCCTGGCCTCCCTCCCTCCGGACCGTCCCCCTTCAATCCTAGGCTTTGGGTGGGAAGGAGAGGAGGTCGACCTTGATCATGCTCAGATCCTCAAGTGGGGTGAAGAATTCGACTTTTGCTATTATTCGTCAGTTTCCATTCTGTCAACGGAAAGGGAGTCTTTGCTTTCGCTTTCAATGACCAGTGGTGCAGTAGCCTTGAAGAACGGCTCATAATACGGTTTCTTGAGCTGCACCTAGAACCTGTGAGCTTGGACTTGGTGGCTTGAGGTCGTCCTACATTGTTCACCCAATCTTTATCCTTCGTCCATCCTTCCGTCCAACGAAATACACCAGCTTCTTCTTCGCCGATGATGAAGTACGCACACTCAGGCTCGGCGGACACGTGATTGAAACACTGCTTGAAGAGGAGCAGCCAAGCTTCTCTGTCGCTGGGTTTGACCACGTTTTTGATTTGTATGATGCAGGAAACTTGTGGAGCTGGGGTTATGGACGTCATCTTCGAGAGAAGATGTGTTGAATTACGTCTATCTTCATGACAATGAGTTGTCGTTTGAAATAGGGGGATGCTGCTTGATGATGAGAAACCCCGCACGTCGGGTCAGCAGTGAGTAATGGTGATGCATGAGATCTCCGATCACTCTCACCCACATGTATCTCCTGTCAGATGAGACATTGTCTGGAAAGTAATCTGTCGATCGATATATTCTTGTTTCTTGAAGTCTACAGATTTAAGTCATGTGATATGATATGGTATGATATGAACATTTGGATCTTTCAAGGTTTATGCCAACTCGCTTCCTGCAATCGAAACCAGGAGAGTTCCTCGGCCGTTGAGATTGGGAGCTTGCAGCAGGGTGATGGGTCTCTGATTAGGTCAACCCCCAGTTAGTCCCACGCACCCACTATCAAGGTGCATCTTCTCTCGCGGCCAAACCGCACATGTTCCTGGTGGAGCTCCCGGACGATCAGCTGGAAAGCTGACGCGATGACTGGGGACGCTCAAACAACGCATGAATACCTTATTCCAATCGCTCGCTTCTTTTCCATGGCCCGGAGCGGATGGCTTGGGCATGCTCGAGGAGGGAAGCCTGACGGGCGAACCACTTTACGCGTGCAGACCCCTGCAAACACGCTCAGACAGCCCAAGGTTCGCGCTTGATGGGTGAGCACAGATCAGACTGTCGCGATTCTTTCGTTGAACCCTGGCTATTCTGCATGAAACCGAATCAGGCACACCGTTGAAAGTAAATGGATTCATTCAAGAGGGAGATTGAAGGGGGGGAGGTTATGCTGGCGGTGATGAAATATGAGGAAGAGTTGAGAGAAGGCTGTCGAAGTTTGGGGGTGGGCGCGTCAAACGCGAGAGAGACGCGCTCAGCTAGCCGAGACGCGTCCGTGGAAAACTTGAGAACAAAAAACAGACACTCGCCCGGTGCAATTGGCCCAGCAGAACGTGATGATACCCGTGCTTTGGCTTCTCCTCCAGTTTCGACTACTGCTCTGTACACGCAGCCAAAAGGGTCTCTCGCGTGCGGATTGCTCAGGTTCCCCAGTGTCTCACCAAGACTTCACTCCCCTTTCGCCTCACGTCGCGATCATCCCAACTCAGCAGTGCAGCGCCGGCACGCAGCGAGGCTCCACTTGCCAAAATCCACGGCCCCAGGCCTTCCAAGGAGCGTAGGGGACCAAGGACAAGATCAAAATCCTCCGGAAGAGCGGCCGAGAAGAAACATCGAGGCCAGTGGCAGAGGCGGTCTGGCGTTTCGTCCTCGGCACGATCTGCACTTGGGCGAAAGCAGCTAGCAGCACTCCCCAGCACTTCTCGCCTGCTGCACCGTTCACGCCGCTGCGCTGCGCTGCAACAGTGCGCTTGCCAGCAGAATCGCGTTCTGGACCAGAAACGCGCTTTTCTGGCTACAAGTGTGCACGCACGCTGCCCACGGGATTCACTCCCTACTGCTCACTCACCTGTTCGTCCACCTCGCCTTCGCTGAGGCAGTTCTTCCTCTCCGGTCACATTGCATCGCTTCTGCATCAACTTCTCCACCTCCTGCACCTGCACCCGCACCCAGGCATTTCACATCACATCCACCATATCCACCGCGACCTCCATCACATCTCCAGCACGGCCGTGTGCTCTGCAACGTCTGGCATCTGGCGCTCACCGCAACCCCCCCAATCAGGGAACGTGTCTCGGCCTGCGCATCCGATATCATTCGCTCTATCGCCTGCTTCGCCTGCCCCGATCGTCCATTGCATCCCACGCCCACCCTGCTGCTCTCTGCTTCTGCTGCTGCCACTCTGCCTTCTGGGCCCTCGTTCGTTCGCTCTTGGTCGTACAACCACTCACGTTCTTTATTCCTCTCGACTCGACTCGACCCAACTTCCACTCTTCCGTTCCTTCGCCTTCTCGCCTTCTCGCCTTTGTCGGCGCCTTTCTTTGTTGCCGTCTGCAGATATTTGGTTCTGCCATAGAAAAGGACGAGCAGAGCGTGCACCGGACAATTCACCCGCACTAGCCTAACCACGGGAGCTAAAGCGAACTCTCCACGAACCTCTGCGACAACAAAAACGAAGTCGGACACCTGGCGCAACCTCTCTCCCCGCCCACCTCTTCCTTCAACTCTTAATTGTGCGACATCTGCACTGTCTTTACACTTCAATTGAGTCATCCCGTCGATAATCTTGCACATCGCAGTCCTCGCCCGCGCTCCCCGTCGCTCAGATCGGCGGTGTCATCTCTCCCAGCCATCCCGATTCCACCACAACGAAACACCAACTCGACCTCCATGCGGAATCCGTGAGCAACACGCATTTCGGAGAATAACCAGATACGACATCTGCTATCGACAGCAATAAAAGCACTCAAGGTGGTGGCGATCTGCGACTTCAACTCGGGCTCTGGGCCGTCTTCCCATCCGCAAATCCTGCCTTGAGGTCGAGATACACCGCGAACCACGATTTCCTTTCCCGATTACATTCTCACGAAGCTCTTTGTACCATACCATACCATACCATACTGTAATTTCAACCTCCTCCGCCGAGCTTCCGCTATCGGTGCTGTACAATAAGGCCGATCCCTTACTTCATTCACCCCACATACGCAACCTAAATTTCAGTCGCGTCGTCACAAGATGTTTTATCAACATTCAAATGGTTCGACCACTCTCCCGAGAGGATTTCGGTTTCACGAGCCGCGAACTCCTGAGCCACAGGCCGAGGACGAACCTCAAATACCCTCGCCCCCTCGACCACGCCTGAAGGTCCGCCGACGCAATGTCTCCAATCTACAAGCTCCTACCGATCACTTCCTTGCCTCTGTTGCTGCTGCAGATGTACCGATCCCGACCATCGAACTTCCACAAGCAGCGCAGAATATATCGGAGGACCAGGATATGCCCGATCGGGAAGACCTTTCGAGCACATCTGGACTCCTTGCCCCCCAAGCACAAGACTACAGATTCTTCTCGCCACCCAGGACGCCAATGCCTACCTTTCCCTCGGAGGAAGGCGCTTCTCAACGTCCCGATTGGTCTATGGGTACTCCTTCCCCCGCGGAAGATTACTTCCAACGACCATCATCCGCTCTTTCGAATGCCTCCTCAGATGATTCATTCTATAGCGGCAGTCGATTCTCCCGGCCCTCTGATGATGGTAGCTGTACGAGTCCGGAGTCTGATATTGCTGATCCATTTCAATTCCCTATATCAAAAGGCAAGGGCAAAGCCGTTATTCTCGATGAACCCGTTCAACTCTCCACATTGAATGGCAAGCTTCGCAGCAAGACGAAAAAGGATGCAAAATGGACCAAGGCTCAGAGCGCTCACCTTTGGTCAACATATCTCCTCTACCTCCAAGATCCGACCGTCACCCCTTTCCGCATTGGTGCCAGCTGTATCCCTCCTGAGGGGGTGTGCCATCGAGTTGCCAGAGAGACGAAGAGAAGCTGGAAGGGCCAAAAAGTGGCTCCGGTACTTCGACGCTCTTCGAGATTGAGCTCTGTCGTTTCATCACGTGCTTCGGAAAAGAGTGGCAGTTTGACACCTACTGGAGAGCATCCAAAGGTGTATGCTGCATGGTCACATTCAAGCGCTGCCACTCGGAATCATTTAAGAGAGATGTGTAGAAACAAGGACAACACTCCCGTTTCCCGACATCGTCATATGCAATCGCGGAGCCCGACCCCATTTACCAAGTCAACCATTCGAGCAAAGCAAACTCCAGAGCCTCACACCTCGATTTTCAGCACAATGGATATTGCCATGTCTCTCACTACTAGCACTGCTGAGAGCATGCAACCGGATGGTCCCCTTGCAAAGTTAGCTGCTGATGATTCAGAGGACATTCCGACTCTGACCTCGAGCTTTCCACCCCTGGAGGAATTCAAACCTCTCAGCTTTGGCCAATCTCGGGGTTTGGCCATTTCTATGGACGAGAATCGTGGCCGCAAACTTGGATCGCCATTCATTGCTCGTACGTACGGTCCTAGTTCTTCCAATACCCTCAACGCCTCTGATCGACCTTCACCACCACGAACGCAATCCGATACCTTCTCAGCACCTCATCTTGGCTCACCTCTTCGTTTCGACAAGCCTCGCTCTTTGAACGGCACTCAGAAGCGACGAGCGCAGCATGATTTGGAAGAAGAGCTAAGTCCCAACGGAGCGATCGTCCGACCTACCATCCTAAACGAGCAATTCTTCGGCACACCCCTCAATCAACGACGAGTCCGAAGCCGCGGTTTCTCTCTCGGCGACGAAGCCCTTCGCCACAGGGCTCCCGGCGCCTCTCCCTCCAAGTTCGAAGCTCCACCACCTCGAATAAAGCTCCCATCTCCCACCCCTCAACCCTGCACAAAAACCGCCGCACCTAAGCTGCTCCCCTCCGCCACCTTTGAGCCTCCCCGCCTGGGATCCCCATTCACGGAGTCAGGACCCTCAACCTTCCCACGCCGCCTCATCCAAGACCCCACCGCTACCGTTCGCCGCTCCGCTTTCGCAACCATGCATCAAACCCGCAGGTCTATCGAATCTTTCGATTTCGGTGAAGGCCCGAGTTTGCAGAGTAGGCTCGAGCAGCTGGATATGAAGCTCAAACAGATTCGCGAGCGAGATGCGAGTACCAAGGGGAAGCGGCAGGCAAGCGAATAATTTCACTCCCCAATCTCAGCCGCCTTCGACTTCAACAATAACGAGAAAACTGGTGGAGAAAATTTACAAAATTGCATAGTGATGGAGTTTTTGCATGATTATTGTCTGGATATCTTACTTCTCTCCACTTTTTACATTCGACTTTTCGATTCTGCGCGTTTGCTGGCATTTGCAGGGGCCTTTACATTCGTCCTCCATGAGTTCACTTAGGAGGAAGGAGATTATTTTTCTGCGTTGCGCTGGCATGACGACACGACACGACCTATACATACGACCTTCGAAACGAAAACCTCACACGGCAGAAACGAAACGAATATCATGTCAGGAGATGACAGGACTGGCTCTGGCGTTTTATCTTCTGCTTCTTTTACTTTCTTGCTGCATTATTGCAACCTTTCCACTTTCTTCGACGCGCGCTGGGCTTGCATTCTGTTCTTCGATGGGGTTTAGACCTGCTTTTGTTTTTTGTTTTTCGGTGAGGGAAAGGGAGAATTTGGGGAGCTTTCCTACACAAAAATGATCGATATGAAAAGGGGCATGGCGAACCAAAAGCGGTGCTTATGATGACGATTGATGACTATGACCTTTTTTTGCGCATTTGGGGGATGCCAGCTTTTTTCATGAAAATGATGGGGAAGATACAGGGGAAGGGGGAGTGGAAGGGGAGTACATACTTTCTTGTACATAATTTGAGATTTGAGAGGGGGAGAGGGTGTACATAATGGAGGCTGAGATTGTGAGTGGGGAGATGGAGGAATCGAATTCGTGGATTCAGCAAGCTTGTTCTCTTCTCTTGTGACGTTCCTTTGAATGATAATCTTCGAACTGAATGTTTGCAGCAAGTGCTATACATTTCCTTCAGCCTCGCCTTTCCCTTCCCCTCTTTTTATGGCCCTGCGTGAATGGGATAGCAGTTAGGCATGCGATGCGGCCCGCCTCGGCGCCGGAAGTCCCGGGGTCTACAAAATAACCTCCTGACGCCTTCAACGCGAGAAGTTCGTAGAAGATAGTGGGAGACGTTAGAGGTGCGCTTTGCCTTCTGCTGGCGGGGCTATGTGTTCCGGCTTTTGGATGGGTGGGTGGTGGGTGGAAGTCGAGTAGGGTAAGTAGCGGTGCGGAATCTTCGAGCGTTGGGCAGGCGAGGGGTTTGTTATTATCAATTTGCCTGGCTGCTGTTAAAACTTCGAAGCGATTTTTATTTTTATTTTTTAATTTTAATTTTCACTTTTTTTAGAATCTAGTTTATTGTCCTTTTAGAGTATTTCTGGCGTTCTTTACACACTCGACAATCTCAAAGGCTCTCTCTTTCTTCCTTTGCATAGCTCAGAGGCCAGGGGTAGAAGAAGTCTATCATATACTACGTCTCAACCCATCTCTCTTTGGCCCTGGAGTTGTGGTAGAATTTGATTCGTTATTGGGGCATTTTGGTCTTTGTATCTTTGGGGAGTGGGACATCTGAAAGAGGGGTCTTTGTTGCACACTGCACCCGTCTGCCTATCCTGCATCATCTGAACAGCATCAAGTGGCACTTCTCCTCATTCCAAAGATGTCCACTCATGGCCCCGTGGAGATACGCATCACCCATGAGTTCCCACAACTTCCCTCTCGGCCTGACAATAAACGGCATCCTCGCACCCTTCACAAGCACAACATAATCCCCCGCCTCCGCAATCGCAGGACCCAGGCCCATGTACCCATTATCAGTTCTGAACAGTCTCCGATTAATCATAAAAGACACCGAAGTCCTGAACTCCATCTCCGGGTTTGCGATCCCAAGCAGCCGGAGGATATGTCCAACAAGCACCACCAACATCCACGGCCAGAGGTAATCTTGAAGCCCAAGTCTCGGTATGATGCGGAGGATCCTCTGACGGCTCTCAAAGCGTGAATATGTCTTTGCGGTCTTCTCCTTATTGCCGTTGGCGAAAATACCTGCTACGCAGGTCTGCCACATAGCATCGTATACCGTCTCCCCCGTCACGTATGGATCATCTTCAGACAAGGTATCTGCCAGTGCAGCAGCCCGCCAGTCATTGACCAAGACTTGATTCTTTTGCAGAACGATAGCTTGTTTTGTGATTGATTGGAAGCCCTTGGTGTCTTGCAGGTCCCAACACTTGCTCTGTGTGGTAATTCTGCCCACGGTGTACCCGAACATGTGGAGAGGTGTTTTGACACGCTTCGTTCCATCGTCGATTATCGGGTGATATAAGGAGCCCTTGGTAGCGTTGTAGGGAGTGAGTTGTCGTGATGTAGCACCGCCAAGTTCGAGCTGGAGGAAAGAACAACAAAGAGGTTCACGGCAACTCCAGTCTGGTACCCATGATGGGAGGTTCAGCGGATCTTTTGAGCTCTGAAGTCGAGGTATACTTAAGAAATCCAAGTTTGATGCCTGGCTGAGTGTCGCTACAGCAAGCTCAGTAAACAGCGTCTCGGCGTTGCGCTTGTAGTTTGGTATGATGTTGTATTCTTCGAAACTAGCATGACCAGAAAGACCCCGAAATGCGAAGACTGTATCGCGAAGGTCGAAGGCTTCAGATTGGCGGTGTCGCGCCAAGATTTCGTAATGGAATCTTTTGGTCCCTCTAGCCACTTCAGCTTGCGAGTGGTACAACCAAAGCAGAGTGTTCATTTTCGTGGTTCCGTAGAATTCAAATATCCAAGATTGGTCTGTGAAGGCGAACAGTAAAGCCCCAACTAGGGCTGACCAAGAAATTGCATTGTCGCCACAGGTGATCCAAGCATTTGATGACAGAACAGCCTCTTGAACTGTCCACGCCCTACTGAACCAAGGCCGTTCGAACAGCTCGAAAAAGGCTGCCCATTGGCGCAAGGAAATGCCATAGCATTCCCAGTTCTTTCCCCACCAGTACCGCCATGTTTTCTTTTCCGCTTCAGAAGCAGCACTCAATTTGGAAAGCCACAATGCAAACTGGATTCCAAGCGTGCTATTTTCGCTGTCCTGTCCGAGCCAGATAAGTGTCCTACTTGCTTTTCGATAGACCTGATGCATTTCTCGGACCTGCGAAGCCTTCTCATCATCATCCGCTTGATTTACACATATCGAGTCAATCCAGAGAGTTCGCTGCCTCCCTTTTGCTCGTGTGCGCAAAAGGAATTTGCGCAGATTCAACGGCACGTTGAGGATCTTCCCATCGCACGCGACCTGGGTTTGGTCTCGTGGATCTCCCCAACAATATGACACCGCTTCGTACTCCGGAGCGGCGGATAGGGGGCATTGGATAACGCTACAAGTAATCTCTCCTGTCTTCTCTCCCTCGTCGAGCTTCACAAGACGGATACGGTGATCGCCGGGAAGTAAAGGTTGATACTGGTAATCCTCCATGGATCAAGAGTTATCGGAGGACGTTGTAGATGAGATGCTCCACCAACTCGGCCTTGGAAATACAGAGTCAGCGACTGCCCGAACATTCATTCGGAGTCTTTGGTACCGCTACGGGCAAGCGAAATAGGAGAACAAGTCCCTGAAAAGTCGAACTATTTTTTGGACGTGAAAATGGGGAAATAATCATCTGACGCCAGGTCGAGTCGCCCAGATCTGACTTCTGGGAAAGAGAAGAAAGAGAGGCGAAGGAGACTATGTACGAGTACTAATTGTTAACTGTGGGGAACAATCAATAATTGGCAGGTCAAGGCTGAAAATTGATTGCCAAATTGGGAGGAAGTGGGTCCTTGGCTTCAGCCAGCCACAACAAGCTTTACCCGTGCACGTGACAGTAATAGCCCCCTCCCCCTTCCCCTCCATGTCCGAGAGAGGTTTCCCTTCTACGAGAGAGCCTTTGGCGCGGGTGCGAACTCTCGATCTAGTTGCACAATATTCTACAATGTGTACTGTCTCCGTTTACTTTAGTAAATCCCTCCATCCCGTAGTGTCTAGCTTCTCGGAGGTCAGAGTGTAAACAGCACATACAGAGTTGAGAAGTCTCCTAAATTGTATTGGCAGAGAGAATGACACATCATACATAACCAGCTTCCCTATACGCCTCTTGGATCTCTGCCTCATACAGCATGAGAGACATCTTCCTCACAGGTATCCCCTTCGGCGACCTAGTCAGCGGCTTCTCCGCACTTACCACAACAATCAAGCTCTTCAGTACCCTTGCACGCTGCGGGACCAACATGTTCACCTCTTCTATTGCAGCCCAAACACTGTTCAACAATTCCTCCTTGCTAATGCCCGGCTGATTCGGTTCGACCAGCATGCCACAAGCAGTATGTCCATCGCCAAACATCACGCAGCCCTTCAACGTCGGCTGACCCATCAACTTGGCCTCGATATGCAGCGGATTGACCTTCGCACCATTACTTAGGATCATAATATCATCAATCCTACCCTCATGCTCCCATAGATGCTCGAAGCCCTCATCTTTGCAGCGTCGGAAGAGATCGCCAGAGCGCCATTCGTCGAGGCGAGGATAGACTTCGAAGACATTATGAATCCAAGAGAACTTTGGGTCGGGATGTCGCCGAAACACCACTTCGTAGAGATCTGATGTGGGCGAGATGCGCTCCATGCTGGGTCCTAGAGTTGGATGGAACTCGAAGCAATGCCAATGTGATCTGGGGGGAACAAGCATCGCAAGGACACTATTTTCGGTCATTCCATAGCCTTGCCACAAGACAGTGTTAGGGAGGTTTTCGGCGCACCACCTCCCTGTTTCTCGGCGTAATGGTCCTGTTGGTGTGTTTAGTGCCTGATCCAACTGTTGGATGGATGAGGAATAACTCACCACCAAATGAATTGACGTGATGTAGGCCTGTAAGCCGATCCTTCAGCTCCTCTCCGTTGGCTCCAAAGATTGCATCGTGGATAAATGGGACCGCGGAGATTGCAGTCAACTTAATGCTTCGCACTATAGCGCAGGCAACATCAGCCGACGGAGGACGATCAATGGGGCCCACAACTGTCGTGTTCATTCTATACAAGGCAATAGTCATGGTACAGAGGCCGCTTATGTGGAATAGCGGAGCTCCCAAGTAAGAGAGTCCTTTTTTCTTTGCCAAATTTGAGGCGGCCAAAACTCTTCCCGGTGGTACAGGAACAAGATCATCACAACCTACGCGAGCGATAAACGCATTGTTGATTCGGATTGGCTTCGGGTTCCCAGTGGAGCCGGACGTATGCAAAAACAATACAGTATCGTTCTTGGCTTCGTCAAATGTCTTGTTGTATGGGTAATGACTTGATTTGACTGCGACCATCTGCTCCAGGCTGGGTATCTCGTGAATTCTCAATCCTGAAATGGTATTCTGAATGCCTTTGACATGTGCTTCGAGTGGACTGCCACCACCGGAATAGAATACGACGTCGCAGTTGGTGGCGTTGAGTAAAGAAACGTTATTCACAATAGCGTTCCGCGGACTGGCGAATAAAAGGGGGTGGCCGGACTTCATTGCAGCCAAGACTATGATCCAGTACCTGTAGTCCTGGACGCCAATGAAAGCGATAGTCTCGTAAGGATCTTTGTCCAGCAGTTGGCAGAGCCACTGGGAGGTGAAGTTGACAGCATTTGCCATTTGCGAGCTGCTCAGCGAGGTGAAGGTCAAGTTCGGCATGGTGCCGGGATCCGCAATGATGCCAATGAGGTGATCGGGATCTTCTGCGGCAATTTTGTCGAGAACTTGTGGCAGAAGTCGCTTGCCATGATTGATGTCTTTGCTTGGTCGATGGTATCCCACGCCCACCTCGGGGTCATCGTTGCTCAAGGAGCTCATATTGAAAATACGAAGCATTCTCTGAACTTGACGGAAATAATGACGCAGATTTGATATACCGAGCTGGTGGCGACGAAGCATTTATGAAGAAGATTTCGCGAAGGCCCATGTTTGCAATACCCTGGAGGCTTGTCGAGGCTCTGTCGGTAGGATGTCAGCCTGACGCCATGGGAAATAATGACCTGCCAAAACCTCGGAAGGTATTCCCACAGTAAGCCTTGATTGTGATTGGGTGGCAATAGGCCTGTCGCCCAATCACGGAAAGCACCTCCCCTAGGAACTTCTTATCACCGCAACAAGCTTAAGCTTACTGCTTACGGTTATGCTGCCCATAAATAATGGCAAATGGCTTAGCGCGCAGTCAGGAAATAAGCAATACGAGGGTTCCATGATCAATGGAGTTGATCTCAGGCTAAAAAGGCCCAATGCGGCCCTTCCAGCGGAGACTTTGGGTCAGATTCAGTGTTTCTATACTCCCAACCTAGCATGCCTAGTATTAAGGATTAGAAGGCTAGGCGACGAATCAAGGCTAGGACCAGGAAGGCTAGGACCAGGAAGGCTAGGGTTTCAAAACGATAGGCTAGAAGTAGGAAGGGTCGATCCTTCCTTAGGTCAGTAGTACCGAGGACGGGAGTTTTAGAAACACTGGTCAGACTGTGAGAGGGTTTGGATGAGGACAGACTCAAGGGTCTAGAGTCGCAAAAGCTACCAATCCAGGCAAGGATCCATCCCTGCACTTCAGAAACAGTGCATCCTCAAGTGCTCGCCGCTCGGTCACGATCATTACTTGAATTCGAGTCTTCAACTTGCGAAAATCCAACGTCTTTTGCGAAGTTCAAAATAGGACGCAAAAATAACTCCTGAAAGCAAAGATAATGCAAGAGCTAAAGGCAAGAGAGCACTTGACCTGATTAAGAAACGAGGTCAAAAGGAATTTCAGTTGAGGGAATATCGAAGATATGAGGGATGGATCGTAGCATATGCATTGGAATAAAACATTCAGCTTCGGATTTCCCAAAGCCTAATCTTACCCGCCTCATTCGCGACAGCTAACATGTTATCCTGCCTCCCAAAAGCGATGGCGGTAATCTTTCCCAGTGGCGTTTTATCGGTCGGCCAATTCCTATACACGGTACAACTTGGTAAATGGACTAATCGGAGAGCATCTTTCTTCCACTTGCTGCTGAAAGCCAGAAGCTGTCCATCTGAACTGATCTCCAAGTTACTCGTAGGCTTCGTAAACTGATCAAAAGCTCGCTTCGGCTGTGGTCTTTCAGGAATTGAGATTTCGTTGCCGGAAACGAAATTTCGTCGGTCGTAAATGTTAATAATCCCACTCTGAGATCCAATGACTACCCATCGATCACCACCAAGAGATTTTGGACCATTCGGACCTCCTAGGGTCAATACCGTCGGAGAATACCCGTCATCGGTCCAGCGTGCGACGTATGAGCGAGACTCAAGACTCCACTCGCCTACTTCGCCTCCTTTGCCAACAACGGTAATACCCTCCCCGTTGCTCCACCAGGCGAAATCAGCTACCCCGTTGACACCTTCAATTCGAAGTGCCGCTATCCATTGTGTCGTATTTGCATCCAAGATATTCACAATTCCGCCACCTTTCTTCGATGATCCAACGACAGCCATATAGCGACCACAAGGACTGAGATTGAATCTTTCCATACTTCTTTGCTCCTCGTTCTGTCCATATACACGTGTGACTTTTTGTATCAAACCAGAAGGTAGATCCCAGGTGTGAAAATATCGTCGACGGCCGGAGAAGAATATCCTGTCTCCCTGGGGAGATTGAAATGCGGACGTGTGTAGAGGTGTGTTTCGAATATGAACCGAAGTTAGAAGAGGGTTGGGTGTTGGATGAGCTGCCGGTGCGATATGATGGAGGTAAAGTGTAGACGCTGGGCCAGATGAAAGCAAAACGGGGTATTCGGGATGGAAGGACAAAGATGTTATGGAGGATGGCTGAACAGTTGGAATTGATCGGGTCTGCTGAATGTCGAGAACCTCTGGACGAAGTTTTGGATGCTTCGTGCTTGTTGGTGTCCTTGATAGAGCTCCAGCATCTTGAAGAAGACGGGCCAAAGGTAAAGTTGAAAGATCCGATTCATCAACATCCATATCATTCGACGATAAAGAGGACGCAGAGCCTGCTGAAGATCGTCGACGTCGCTTCGCTGACCGAGAGGACGGTTGTGCCCATTCTGGAGCCGGATTGAGGCGCTCGAATTGTCTTCGTAATCGCTTCGTGTACTCCCTTCCATTGACAATATCTTCGTCTTCGTTTACCCGTAGTTTTCTCAACCGCGAATTCCCTGCCAGTGATATTGCAAGCCGATCGTCATCGCTGTCCTCCCAAGCTGGTACATCTGCTGCTTCGTCATCCGATGAAGCGCGCGGCAATAGTGCGTTTGAATCAATAGCGGATGGCCCTGAATCAAGGAAAAAGAGCTTCCCGGACGGTCAGTCTCGATCATTGTGAGATACTAATGCCTCTCACCTCTGCATCGTCGATATTCTCGAGACGAGCCTCTCCTTCCGAATCCTCCTCAACCATGCTCTCTTCCTCTTCAGAGCCACCATCTATATCAAGGTCCATCTGCTGGCCTAATTGCGCCTTGAAACCTAGACCATCTCCGAGCACAAGCCTTGCCAACTCCTCCTCCTCCTCATCTTTTTCCAACAGTCCCGTACTGTCATTGTCGGTGTCACTTCGTTCTTCTCGCTCTGGTGCAGAGCCGTCTTCAGTCTGCCGACTCGCGGTGAGCTTCTTGGATCGTTGTCGAGGCATTGCGTATGCTTTTACGACTTTCGGTCGTCAGCTCGAGTTCGACAAATTCATCTGGATTTTTTCTGCAGGGATATTTTAGCACTCGCACTAAGGTAAGGCTGATAATCAGCCTCGCCCCTCATCCCCCAACTCGAAGGATTTCCACCACAGAATCTAATTTTCAGTAGGAAAAGCATCAACCGGCCTCGGTCAGGTGGTTTAAGACGTTAGACTCTGTTTTAAACTATCGACCTTTAGGAGTCCATTAGGGCAAAAGCTTCAGCGCAGAGAAACCGGGAAAGGCGCAGCTCGCTTAAATTAAAGGGGCTTGTGTTTGGAAGCCTGCAGCCTATCGGACGAACGAAATTCATTGACTCAAGAGCTTTGCATATTCACCGTCCGCTCATTTCTTCTGTCTCTCGGATATTCCTTGGTTGTCTGTCTACTCCGAAGTGAGGCTGGACTCGCCCGCCCTCCATCTGACTCGCTCCTTATTACCTACATATATACCAAGCTACGACGTAACAATTGTTGTGATTTCGGCCCATCATTTGTCTTAACCCTCTGTGTTATCTAGGTGTCCACGATGCTTGCTGTGCCGGATGTCAGTTGGAAGATATAAATTAAATTCCGTTGAAGAGAGGTCATTTGGACGTTGCAATCACTGTAAGTCTACGTCCCTTGATTTCTGTTCGGAATAATTCGTTATTAACTACCTCGGTCAGATCTCGCAAGCTTGAACAGGAAATTTGACCCAAAGGCAGAAACTCCACAATATCAAGATGCCACAAAAGCAGCGACCCCGAAAAAGGATCTTCCAGGAATCACCCTTCCTCTAGATTCCTGGAGAGATCAGGATGATGATCCATGAAGCAGCTCTTCTGAACATCAGATAAATTGCTGTGCTACACTTTCTTTGCTCATATGGCAAAATCTCGACAAATCAGTTTCATCAGATCCCTTCCTTTCGCGAGATGTTTTCACCGCCGCTCAGGCAATGCGTTTCGTTTATACCGAATATCAATTACATCTTGAACATTGCAAAGGTCAGGGCACCAAAGATGGCAATTTTTGTGTGGGTATTGATTACAAACGTGGCGTAGAATCATATGAGCGAACTTTATCTTTCAAATTCACAATACAGGAAGGAAATTTTGACTATGGCTGGTCAAAAAAGGGGCTTTAGGAGTCATTAGCGAGACCGTCCAGCAGTTTATCCACCGTACGCTGATCTCAAAATTTGCCATGACCCTCTTTCTTAATCCACGGCCTCCAATATTCGGACAGGGGTGGTGGATGGTCATTAAAGTCGTTACGCATTTGCTGTTGTACATTTGCATAATTGCCAATGGGAGTCATTGTACTGAGTTCAGCTGTCTCGTGTTTCAAGCTCCACACCGGCTTGCAGCTTGAAGATGTCGCCAAGAAAGGCGAACGGGAAAAATGGTCAAGCCATAGCCTCCGTAGCGAAGTACCATTCATTTGAAGCTTTTCGTACCATCAAGCATCATGGGAAATGCAATGATCCATGTAAACCACCAAGCCCCTGCAGCCAGATCTGATCTCAATCTTCTTTGCCCCAGACCAAGTACAATCCCTCAATGTGCTCAGAAAATATGCGCCAGCAAAGCCCTAACAGGTGCGCACTCCTTCGCCTTCTCCTTCGGGTAGTATCGTTTGTTTTTCTTGGTATAGGCAGAAAGTTCCCGTTCATTTCCGAACCGGTGAGGTGGGGTGCTCTCGGTGTTTACTGCATATATCAAGTCGTGGATATTGACCCAAACCGGTCTCAGCGCCTACCCAACATGTCAGCAAGACAAACTTTGGGTACTTCTTGGGGAGGGGTAGCAACCTGCTTGCATTTTCTAATGCTTGGAAGCTCGCTAGCAATACCAACATCTCGGCACAGCCTCTGCCAGTTCTCAAGTTTGAGATCGCTGCCGAAATACCGGTCGAACGCGCCCACAATGTTGTTGATTTTCCCCCCCATTGAGCGTGGTGGAGGGGTAGGGAGAACGCTGGCTCCACCCCTGAGGTTGAGGTTGGCAAAACTCTTCTCGACGGGGCTGGGGGATGCAGTGCTGCCGACTGCTTGAGCGGAATTCTTCTTCGATTTCTTCTTCGGCATGACTGAGATTTTTCTGGAGGGTTGACTTCGATTCGTGGATCTGATGGGCTGGGGCTGCCAAGGAGGCCCTGAATGAGGAGAAAAAATTGGAGGAATAAATCCAATTAGTGATATATCATGGAAAGCCTTACAAACGCAGGAGAAAGAAGCCCTGCACGCTTCCAGCATGCCTGGTTGAACGTCACATGTCACATCACATCCTAGCTCTCTTTGTGCAAACAGGTTGAGAAACAACGCCCATGCAGGTACCCATGAACCCCAGTTCCACCATTTCACTTCCGAAAGGAAGGGGAGAACAAAGGATATGCCACCTCAGGCAAGAAAAGTCTGCATCCAAAACATCGCTAACATATCCCGCAGGCAACTATCCCGTGTTCCAGCACACATTGGGGCATTGAAACCACTCCACTGGTCTAGGGTGCAGTCTTTTTCTCGATTTCAGTGTTCCAGCACGTAGTGGTGACTTGCAAAAGCTCCCATGGCATCGACCTTCGTTTTTCACAGCCCCCATCTTACTCTCCACCCCGTATCAACCATTCCGCAAAACCCGCAAATTCATCGTGCCCAGCACCTCTCCAAACCAAGCCTTCAAAAATTCTCTTTTCCCTCTCCAAGTCGAGATCCACCAACCTCCTAATCAACCCTTCACCCATATTTGTCATACCTCGGAACTCTTCCCCGTATCTCCTCAAGATTGCTTCCTTTGCTCTATCCATCGTGTTGGAGCTCGTGACCACAGGAACGCCTAAGAGCTCGTAGCTTGTGGAGATCGCTGCTGGTGGGGAGATTGGTCTTGGTTTGGGCTGTGTCGTAGGCAGATATGCCAGTCCTGTAGTAGAGTCCACGACGAAATAGGATTTTGGGAGTTGTGTTTGTGGAATGCCTAGTTGTTGGACATGCTGCTGAACATATTATCCATGAGGAGGAACGGAAGGAGGCTAGGAGCTGAAAGGCCTGCCATATTTGTGTTCACTGGTTGAATACCTTCGAGTTCTGCAGGCATCGAGTCTGTTGAAAGCTCTGCTTCCACATCCTGGTCTCTTCCGTGCTGGCGGTGGTACTCTTGCAGACTCATTTCTAGGGGGTCCTTTGATGTGTTGCTTCGATGGTTGGGTGTTCGAGATAGCGTTGATGCAATAGAATGAAACTGGGAAAGGGCGGAAGGTTCTTTGTTTTGCTCAAAGGTTGGTATTGCTACTGGAACTGGGGATGTGTCTCGGAAATTCGGGAAAGTTCGTCCGGTTGGTGAATGTGCTTGGGGTATTGGATGCTTAGGGACCGGCTTCCTGATTACTCGGCTCTCTCTAGCCTTGGAAGTCATCATGCTCTCAGTTCTTTGACACAATAATGAGTATCTGTCCGTGTAGAGGAAGGGCGGTTATAGCTTTCCTGTGGTTATAGCTTTCAAGGGAGTTATGGTGTCTGGCAATGAATCATCATCAAGACCACATTCGCACTCACTCTGCAAGTCAACAAAGTTTTCTTTGTTCCAGAATTCCTGGTTCAAAGAGTCTTTGTTTAATGAGTTTTTTTTTGTACAGTGGTTATTTGTACAATGGAGGATGTGTTTAATAGACTCTCGTTCATTTGGATTGTTCAACACATGGTTGGGATATTTGACCGGAAATAGTTGTTATTTACGTGACTTACGTCACTAAAGAATTTTCTGTGATACAGGCTGAAACACGTCATTGTACTCAAACCTTTGAGATCTTTGGGTATAGTCCGTTCCTTCAATTATGTTCATCTCTGTTTCCCTCAGTCTGAACAGAAACACTCCAGTTCTCCCTAGAATCCTCAACATCGTCACCATTCTCCCCACTAGGCTCCTTGTCTTGCATCTCCTCATCAAATGCATCAGCATCGTAGAAGAAGATGATATCCTCATCAGCCGGCTCGTCCTTTCTCGCAAAGGCGTAGCGCTCTCGAACCCAGATAATATCCTCCAGAACTCGCTGTTCCAACTCGCCCGGCTTAACCCACAGGAAGTCGTAATCACGGATGTTGGCACCTGTTCTCACATATGAGTCTTGGTAGTATACACGAATAGGGGATGCTCGTACCTTCACATGGGAGAAAGTCAAAGAAGAACTTGGATTGATACCGCTTCTTCAAGACCTCTCGAGCACGGGCATGGAGAGATGCGTCTTTTCGTGGAGCTTGAGGGTCGAAAGGCGGGATGTAGGAAGAGCTTCGTGGATCCGTGACAACTTGCCCAACCGGCTTCCGCTTGATGATTAGCTTTGGTTGTGTGCTGTAGAGAGTATCGGTTTCGGCTTTGTTGGTTTGAGAAGCGTCGAGAGGAGAGGCTGCTTCAGCACTTTCGGCCACAATCTCCATGTTTGCAGTCGGTTGTTTCCCAATGTTGTTGATTTTGTTCACGGTAAGCGGCTTCGACAACGTGATGCTTGGGAGGATAAAGGCCTTCCAAGATGGGTTGTTTATCAAGGGTGGCGATAGATTAGCCTCGGGTGTCTCTTCGTAACGGACGAAAGGTACATCAGAGAACGCTGTGGATGCTCGTCTGCGCCTCTTTGAAGTGAAAGAGGCTTTGATACTATCGAAAACCATCTCGGGCGATGGCTGCGACGCTGAGGCGCGTCGTGGTGGAATTGTGTTGAGGTCAAGGACATATCAAGACGCGAGATGGAAGTTAAGACTTTGCTTTCCCGTTATCGGACCGTTATCGCCCTTGAATGCGGAGTTCCATGTACTCGGACTTGTATCGGATGAAGGTCTGTATTCACTATCGTGCCTCGTTGTTTGTCATGTCTTATCCTCCTGAACTGTCAATACTTAGTGGGCTTCCTACACGCCTCTCGTTCTGGCTACAGAAATTAATGGATATTCTAAACCTTTCCTGGCTTTTTGAAAGAGGTTATCCCTTCCAGGAAATACCCTTGGGGTTGAAATGGGTTCAGAGGAGGAGATGAGCGAATATAGAAGCGAGAAGGGAGTAGGTCACAACTTGAACATCACCCGTGCACATCGGAAGAGTTATATTTACAGCGCAACAGGTATATTCAATCTATAACCAAAACTCAGGGAGATGAATTATTTATCTCAGATGATTCTTGAACTAAATTTCAAGTTTTCCGGGACTATAGCAATGAGAAGGCCCCTCAAGGCTAGCTGCGCGAGGTTCATTGTTTTGAAAGTTGTGGAACTTTCTTTCGAGTCGAGGTGGTTGGGTAGAAAATTCGAGGAGGGCTTGTGTAGAAGAAAAGACTTTACGGGGAGCTCTGACAGCGAAACAGAGACATGTATTCAAAAATTGGTAGGCGTAAATTTTCGCAAATAAGGTAATTCACTTAGACCAAACCTTGGACTTGAAAATCCTTGGTGGTTCAAATTTTATAGCAAGGAAACACGAGTTGTATAATAGACATGCTCTTCTTTGCAACAAAGCGTCGACCTGACCCTGTCAACGTGGCCTTGCAGCCCTTTTAAGAGGATCGATGAGAATCACGTGACAATGATAAACCATTCACTGTGTTGAAATTAGGGGCCTGAGACCCCTAATAGGCTTAGTAAGCCCTGGAACCGAACGCCATGGGGCTGTGCACTAGCTTAATACCCTGTCCAGCTGGAATACCCTGTATAGCTGGAATACCCTGTACGGCTGGAATACCCTGTATAGCTGGAATACCATGTACGGCTGGAATACCCTGTATAGCTGTAATCGGTTCAGCTGGCATAGGGATTTAGTACATGTGACTTAGGGGGTTCAGGGCTATATATACGGGCTACTTACCACTGTAGAACAGCAGTCAATTCAGTACGTTTTACTTGGTTTACATTGCAAGCACGTGACCCTAGCTATATTGCTTTAGCTAGTTCAACACACTGCACTCCGACCCCATGATACCGGCGTTTGCTCTTCTGCACTACAAAAAAAAAGAGTACATCTAATCTTTTAAGACTATTTAACGCATCTAGTAATTACTCTAGCTATATATCATCTCTGTGTTGTCACCGAATGATGCAGGGATAGGTAATCTTGAAAGCGAAGCGAATTGTCGGCAAGAGGAAGGGCTTTCAAAGGCAAACAAATATTTAAATTTAAGGCTATGACTCATTCGGTAGGAATAATTCGTAAAGTTGAGCCACTATTACGCTCTTCAATTGCTATTACCCAACTTCCTCAACCTTCCACCATCCACCCTCCACCGCTCCACCCCTCAACCACCCTTCCTCCATGGCAACAGGGTGCAATCAGATTTCGATAACCTATTGATTGGTTTCAGTCCAACTACACAATACGTTTACGCTTGGAAGAAGCATAATTATAAACTCACATTTCGCTAGGAGCTCACCTTTCCAACCATGTTGCCAGAGTTTTTGCCTGACAGCTACAGTCGGTACAAGGAAGACACCAATGTGTTCGCAACCTGGTTGACAAATACGGCCAAGGCGTGTGGCCATACATCCCGTGATACAACCCAAATCGCATCAAGCGATCCGATGAATGAAGCCCCAGCGAGTGTCCGTCTCAAGGGGAATGCCAGAAAGGAGGCGAAAGCAAACGAGTCTTCTCGACCACTGCCAGTCGTTCTACCTTCAACTAAACACACACTTTCAACGGGAGATATTATCACCCAAGCCGGCATTATCGCAATTCACAAAAAGCCAGCAATCAAGGTGCCTCTGGTAATTCAGGGTGTCTTGCGTCGTGCCATCCGCGCTCGCAAGAGATGTACTCTTTGGTTTCAGAATATGACGTCGGAGAGCAATAAGGAGGAATATGAGGCGTCAAACTCATCCCACCAACACTTCATCCACGTGCTGGAGAGAGCACTGGAGATTCTGGAGCCTTGTTTTGAAAAGTGCAAGCCAGCCGCGAGCAAAGCAAAGCAACCAGGATCAGCGGACAATCATCAAGTACCAGAGCTTTCTTCTTCTATCAGCAACCGATTCGAGAATTTGGAAGTCGAGGATACCGCGGACCAAAATCTTGACATCAACGGGTCCGAAGCTGCAGTCTCAACAATGCCGACAACCAAACTTCCACAGAACAAAAACAAAGTTGTCACTATCTACGAATTGGAACGAAGTATGGAGGTGGATTTGCAGTTCAGAGTTTACTGCTTCTTTGAAGATCTTCATCGCGTTCGGGAGTTCCTCATACAGACTTGGCAACGATTTGCTGATGGCAAAATTGATTTGGTCACAGCATCCCTCGTCACCAATGTAACGCTTGCACTTGTCCGAGAATCTGAGGAGAGAATGAAGCATTCGTCACCAAAACTCGACCACGAAGATTCTTATAACTCAATTGCCTCTGTCATCCACCCAGTTCCTGATATTGCCGATAGTAGAGAAGGCATTAGGGCGATGTTACAGAGTACAACCCTCGACAAATTAGTCTTCCGCTCTACCTTCGTATCAATGTTGAAGACCATCGAATTATTAGACCGCGACAAAAAGAAAATCAGTCCTTCATCAATGATTCCCATCTCTCACCTGTATCTCATAACGGCGACCGTGCTGCCAAAAGGATACGAAAATGTGGTGGCAGACGACCATTTCCTAACACTCTTCTTGCTCGACTCCATGGATCTAGTAATTATGGGCCTTATGGAGAAGCGAGACCAAGAAGCGCGTCGTGCTGGCCGGATTGCACCGCTTCCCAGTTACGTGCCACCAACCGCCTTTCTGGACGAGATAACTAAAGGTCTTACATCTGCCATGTTTACAGGAAACATTACCGTCACAAGTGCCTTCCAGTCTCGGTTACTTGTTGACATGCAAAATATCCTTGGTGACCGTATCGAGCAAGCTTACAAGCAACTACGACATCAAGGCGCAGCTTCACTTGCGGCACTTGGCAACAAATGGAAGCCGGGATCCTGCATGGAACCACCGATGCCCGAAGGCAATCCTCAACAGTGGATCAGCGATTGGGGAAGTGTAGAGGCTTCGAAGAAAGCAATCCTAGTTTCCCTCGCCGTGCATAGTGTTGTCAAAGAGAACCTAATGGTCGGATACAAACAAGCCAAAATGGCTCTCTACGAATCTGATGAACAAGATGAGATCTTCTCCGCAAATGGGCCCCTCTCTTTTCTCGGCGGAATGAGCACTGGTCTTGAAAGAATTCAATCCTCTTCAGATCCGGCCTTCCTGCATAACCACAACCCAGTCTATTGTGGCCTGGAAAAGCTCAATATCCTGACTGCCATGGAGAATGTTGGAGTTGATCTCTCTAACTACCTCTGTTCACTGGCGCCTATGGCACACCTTTACAATGCTCTTCGCCAGACTGGTCTTCTCACTGTGTCATGGCCCGCCTTGGATGAAGCCATTGAACTTAACATGAGCTTGCTTTTCAATGGTACTCTTCCTACGACGGCTCACCAGATCAACTCCCGGTACTTACTATGCATGAAATGCCCTGTTACTGCTTTTGCGCGGAACCATCGGGGGCAAAAACCTGATTGGCAGGCAGTTATGAAGAAACTTGATTTTGCTCATGCGTCTGCAGAATCTTCAAAGCATCTTCGAGCTTACCTGGACGGAACAGACTCCCCTGAGAAGTTCCTTCACAGCATGGTGAAGGAAAGCAGACACACTCCTTCGAAGAGAGGTCGTGCTACTTCTCAGCTTGAGATGTTGACTCAGCTTCGAGATTTTCTTCCGCAATGCGTCGCCAGACTGGAGGTTGATCGAGTTACACTCTCCCGTCAATGTGCCAGACTCTTCCGGCTGATTCGTAGCGCCTTCAAGACAAGACTCGGAATCGAACATGTAAAAGAAGGAGTGGAGTTCGGAGAAGCTTTCGGGAAGTGGAACTATATTACGGTAATGTTGGCTTTTGACGAAGCATTTCCGCCAAGACACTCGAGACCACCTACACAACACCAGGTGGATGGAGAGTCTCAACTAGCAATTGCAGCAGAGGTCACAAGGAACTTTATTTCCGAGGTCAAATCTGAGCCTCCCATCCAGCCCTTTGATGTTGTGGCAGCCACAGACAGAGAGCGATCTCACTACGAGAACTTACAAATGCCAAGAAGCACGCAACGATTCATGGAGAGATTGTAAGCAATGAGTAGTATAAGCATTTGAGATTTGGGTGAAGATTATGGCAACCGTTCGGGGGATCATTCGGGTGGGAGACCATTGATTTGGAAACAATGCTTCACTTCGAAGCTATGTATCTCGCCTTCTTCTGGAGACCGTCTTGTGCTTGTCATTTGAGTGGAGGGAAGAAGACTTTGGAACTTCTTTGCAGCTAATGTCTCATAGACTACAATGAAGCAAATAGACACTTTCGTCATGGCCCTTCTTGAATGCTGTAACGAAGAAATGTGCTTCATCGCTAACCAGTGATTATCGTGTGCCATTAAGTATTAGCGTAATGTTCCAAATGTTGTGATATCCTCGTGCAATGCCCGTGACTAACTTGGCGACGTCCCACGACTTCATTATTTAATGAGTCTTGTGGCTACCTATATTGATCTTGGAAAGGTGGCACAATACACTTTTGACTGGGCAGCCAATTTTTCAAAGGTTGATGGTTCACTGAGTCTTACACCCGGAAAGCCTGTCAAACCAACGTGTTTAGCATTTCTACCTGCCCGACTAATCTACGAGAAAGCAACGTCACTTGCAAGTGATATCTCCGTTATCTCTCCCCAGCGTCGAACATCGACAATTAAGCATCGAACCAACCCGAAGCATCCCACAGCTGAGCGCCATAGTCTTTAACCAAATCCTGGTCGTCGGCCCATCCCACCGTCCCCGATTGTTGGCCGTAACGGAAATATTGGTAGCCCAGCCAGTATACATCGTCTTGAGCCTTTTGTTCGGCCGCATTTCCGTCCAACCATGGAAACGCCGCACGATATCGTCCTTTAAATACATCGACCGCTCTTGCAAAAGCCTCACCTGTGGCACCCAACACACTCGTACGGTATTCAGGTACGAAACTTGGCACGTCCCCTTGCCAGTCCCGAACAGCGTCAAGCTGTTTTCCTTTCTTTTCCAAGGCTGCCATGACATGGGCACTTGCTCCCTTGCCGTGAAACTCGTCGTAGCAAGGACAATGATATCCAAACGAGATCGTGTCAGGCCTGGAAGGATCGAAATCGAGAGCCCCAACAGCCTTGAACCAAGCTGTTGGGTTCCTACCGTCCTTGGAATATCTCCTACGGTACCTGGCATAGAAGGTGTAACACACTCCCCCAACAGGGTCAGTCACCGTAATATCTCCATCCTCGGTAAGATAAATTTTCGGTTTCATGAAGTATGCTGGACTCTCCTCATGCTCAGGGCGCTTTGGGGCCTCGCCGGGTACTGCCGGGTAGATCGTGCAGGTGCAATGCTTAGGCCAGCCCAGCCAACGTCTTTGGGAATCCTCATCCATTTCAGGGGCTGGGAAGGGGAACCTGTGTCGAGATCCATGAGAACGCTTCTCATTGTACTGCCTTCTCAGGGTGCAATTTCGTTTGCTGCAGTGGGCGTGCTTCTTCAGGGTAGAATATGAGTAAGATTTGCGGGAGCTACGAGCCGGCGACGGGCTTCTGGAAGATGAATAAACTGGTGAGGTCAGTCTCGTTGTTGTATGTGAATGGTAGGGCTGCGTTGATGCTGAACGCATTCCATGAGAGAGAGTTCTATCGGAAGAATACCCTCCCGCCACGGTGGAACTACGCGGCGGAGATAGAGTTCTGGCTCTATTTCGGTGTTTGCGCGAAGACAATACACTGGTTGAGCGGCCTCTGGCTGTGCTACTGCGTCTGTTATGCATTGATCTTTTTGATTTCGAGGCACGTGGACCTTTGTGACGCGAAGATTGAGATACCTTTGTCTTAGGTACGACCCGCTGTCCCTTATATTGTCCTTCTCGTCTACCATGTGCTGAAGAAGACGGAGTTCCTGTCAAACTTCGGTTTGGAGCACTCGACCATGGACTCGTTTCTCGTTTGGGGCAATGACGGCAGTTGACCACACCACAGAAGGTATCAGCTGAAGACGCAGGTGTCTTCTTAGGAGAAGGCTTATCTCGACGGCGGTCCGCTTGCCGGTTGAGCTCTGGTGAACTCATGCGGAGAACTGTATGCGATCTTTTATGCCGAGGCTTTGGGGCTTTTGGCGTGGGAGACCTTGACATGATATGGCTTGGTATGGACGACCCTGACACGAAAGTCTGGTCACTGTGGTAAGACATGCTGAGCTTTGAAGAATGTTCTGGTTATGGAGTGAAGTTAACGTTGGTTGAAGTCCGAGGAATGGGAAGAAGTGATGGTTGGAAACAAAAGGAAACGGGATGAAGTGGTCTTTTTGTAGACAGAACTGCGATACTCATCCGTGAATCGACACGAGCAGCGAGTTGATGGAAATGGATTATGTCAATGGAATTCAACTTCATGAATCACTGATTCATTGATTCTTACTTTGCGACCACTGCTGGATGGTAAGCTGGGAGCTGAATGGCGACTCATCTCCAACGGAAGTGATTCAAACTAAGTCTCTCTCTTCCGATCGAAAGCTTGCCTGAATTACAACGTCTTGAGGAACTTCTGAACGGGCGACGGCTTCTAAACACGAGTGACCGCAAGACGTAACAATACTGAGGCCATTAGCGGGCTAGCGGACAAATCCGAGAAGCGAAAAGTGATTTTCTGATTTTCTGATTTTCTGATTTTCG